GGACAAGACCCAAATAGTCTTGGTGAAACTGTCTTGATAAAGACTAGTTTTATCCTAAAAGTTGGCTTTAACAGAAAAGTGTTTCAGTAGTTTTTGGAGAACAGGTGGTTCTTGGTTATATAGATAAGTTCTTTAGCGGTGATTTCCGAGATTTTGGAGCACTCATCACCTAAGCAGAATACATGGTACCCTTTATGTACTCTATGATCCCTCACCCCGCTTCAGCCCTTCCCCCTGAGTCCCCAAAGTCTGTTATCTCATTCTTACACCTTTATGTCCTCATAGCTTAGCTCCCACTTATAAATGAGAACATGTGATAGTTGGTTTTCCATTCCTGAGTTACTTCACAGTATAATGACCTCTAGCTCCATCCAAGTTGTTGCAAATGCCATTATTTAATTCCTTTCTATGGCTGAGTAGTATTCCACGGTGGGTGTGTGTGTGTGTGTGTGTGTGTAACACATTTTCTTTATCCACTCATTGGTTGATGGGCATTTAGATTGATTGCAATTGCCAATTGTGCTGCTATAAACCTGCATTTTCATGTGTCTTTTTCATGTAATAAAAGTTAGCTTTTCTGTGTCTTAAGAATAGCTACATTGTTCCTTAGAATGCTAGCCATCCTTTCACTCATAGACTATGAAAATTTGGACAAGTTTTTGCATGTATTTGAACCCTGGTCAGAAAATCTTGAAAAACATAGGAGGGGCCAGGCACACTGGCTCACGCCTATAATCCCAGCACTCTGGGAGGCTGAGGTGGGTGGATCATGAGGTCAAGAGATCAAGACCATCCTGGCCAACATAGTGAAACCCTAAAAATACAAAAATTAGCTGGGTGTGATGGGGCATGTCTGTAATCCCAGCTACTTGAGAGGCTGAGGCAGGAGAATTGCTTGAACTTGGGAGGCGAAGGTTGCAGTGAGCTGAGATCACTCCACTGCACTCCAGCCTGGTGACAGAGTGAGTCTCTGTCTCAAAAAAAAAAAGATAGGAGGAATAATCTCTACTTTTCAGGGTTGTTCCAGGACATTATGTCTTGTGAGACGTGTCGCACAGACCCAAAGGACACAGCAGTTATTCAGAAGCAGTGTGCTTTCCTCCCTGTCCCTTGAGGAACCACTGAGAAAGATAACTTGTTTGAATTCATTTCCTTTTGCTGCTGTAACAAATCACCAAAAACTTTGTGGCTTAAAACTACACAAATTTGAGCATCTTACAATTCTGGAGGCCAGAGTTCAGATGGGCCTCACCAGACTAAAATCAGGACAAGGGCAAGGCTGCATTCCTTTGCAGGGCTCCGGGAGATAGCCATGTCTTCTCTTTTCCAGTTTGCAGAGGTTGCCCACAGTCCTTGGCTGACAGCGCCTTCAGCAATCACATCACTCTGACCCCTGCTGCTACTGCCACCTTGCCTTCTCTCTGCTGTAAACTCTCCTGCTCCTTTATTATTGGGACTTTTTTTATTACACTGGATGTGTCCAGATAAGCTTCCCATTCCCACATCCTTAACTAAATCACACCTACAAAGTCCCTTTGTTATGAAAGGTATTGTATTCACAGGTTGATTAGGATGTGGACATGTTGGGGGCCATTATTTGATCTACCATAATTGTCATGTCAACTTCTGTAACCTACAGAGGTCTTCATCTTTATTACAGACTCAAGCCTCGTTTATTAACTTAACTTCCTCTTACTTTTTTTTCCTTCTCTCACTGTATTTTTTTTTTCAGGCAGGGTCTCACTATATGCCCAAGGCTGGTCTTGAACTTGAGGGCTCAAGCAGTCCTCCCACCTCAGTCTCTCAAGTACCTAGGACTCCAGGCACATACAACCATACCCAGCTAATGTTTTGTTTTTTTTTTTAATTTAGAGATGAAGTCTTGCTGTGTTCTCATTTTATCTTTAATAATGCTATCATCTGCCAGATTCTCCACTAAAAACCTGAGGCTGCCTGGGCTCAAGCCCTCACCACTCCTGCCTGGACACTGCACATGCTCATTGCTCTTTTCGCCACCCGCCTCTCTTACCCCAGCAATCTATCTCTACACTACCACTCAACTCATCTTTTTCCAGAACTGCTTTGGCCACCTCATCCTCACCTGAAAGACCTTTGCTGGCCTCCTTCTGCCCACAAAGCCTCCAGTCTCACCCCAAGTCAAACCCTCCCAAGGCTGGGCTCCTTCCCTCTTCCCACATTTCATTTCCCAACCTGCTAAAGTATATGCATGTGTTACATAAGCCACTCAGAATTTCTCATGATTCACCCACACACACCCTACTCTTGCCTGCCTCTGAGATTTCTTTACTCATCCTGCCCCAACTACCTGGAGTTCCCCTCTCTTATCCTTTACCTGCATATTTCATTCTTATTTCATTCAATTCTCACAAATCTGGGAAGGAGAAGATATTGTTAACCCTTTGTTATAGATAGGCAAACAAGCCAGAGCATTAAAGTAACTAGCCCTAGTTCAAATGCCTAGTAATTGTCAGAGCTGTCGCTAAATACCAGACTGTCCTTTACTCCATTTTCTAAATTTCAGTAGGCTGCTGCATTATTAGGGTATGAGTATTTTATTGTTTTACCCTGATTTTTCTCTTTAATTTCTGCAGATTTCCCTTGGTCCCAAAGGAAACAAAACTAAGGTTTTGTAGTGCTGCCACCACCCCTGACACCCCAGGAGTCGGTGTTTCCTTTACCAACCAGAGTTGAGTGGTCTTTTAAAAATGCAAATCTGTACATGCTATTCTAATGCCACTACCCATGCACTAGCCTGAATCCCCTTAATGGCTGATTTCCCACTGCCATTTAAGAGGATCTTAAATTTCCCAAAAATGGCCCACATCTATCTGGCTTCCTTGCAGTGTTTCCTGCCTGCCAGTGCAGCTCCCCACACTACGCCCTGCTCACCTCTCCATGCCCGCCATGCTGGCCTCCTTTCTATCCTTGGACCCACCATACTCCCTCCTATCCCATGGCCTTTGCACATGTTCTTCCTCCTACATGAATGTTCTTCCCCCTTTTCTCGGTCAACTTAACTCCTTTATCATTTTTCAGGCTTTGACTCAAATGTCACTTCATTAGGGAGCCCACATTTAAACACCAGTGATCTGTAATTTAAAAGGCCAAGCTTTTCCCACAAACCATGTTGTGTCTTCTTTAAACACTTTGCATATAAACTGACAAAAGGAATCTAAAACATATCAAGAGTATCTGATTGAGCATTGCCCTTTTAAAAATGAAGAAAATTGGTTCTTATTATCTGGAGAGTCTGAGACTGGCCCCAGGCAACAGGCATTTCCTGACGATGACACCATCAAATAGCCCACATCTGAGCATCGCCATTCAATTTCCCCTGTGCTCCTTACACTTCTCCTGTATCTCATATGACTCCTAGCTTGGTACTGAATGCTTAACAAAATTTTTAAGTATATTTATTATTGGTTGACTAACTGACCAATAAGTTTCACTTGGGACATCTTTTTTTGAAAACAGTTTGGCAGTTTCTTAAACAATTAAACCTGTAACTATTCTATAACCCAGCAATTTCCCTTCTGGACATTTATTCCAGAGAAATGAAGATCTATGTTCACATAAAAACCAGTACACAAATGTTTATAGCAGCTTTATTCATAATAGTCAAAACTGAGAAACTACCAAGATATCCTTCCATGAGTAAATGGCTAAACAGGCTTCAACACATCCATACCGTAGAATGCTACCCAAAAATGAAAAGAAACCAGCCACGCTGACACACAGCAACCTGGATGAATCTCCAGAGAATTGTGCTGAGTGAAAAAAGGCTAATCCTTAAGGGCTCTGTGCTTTATGATTCATTTGTATAATATTCTTGAAATGACAAAATGACAGAAATGGAAAACAGCCTAGTGGTTGCCAGGGTTTAAGAGGACATGGAGGGGAAATGATGTAGCTATGGTGGACAGAAGGGGAGACACTTGTGGTAAGGAAAATACTCTTTCCTTTGACTGTATCAATACTAACAGCCTGGTTGAAATATTGTACTATAGTTTTTCAAGATGTTACCATTGGGGGACTGGGTAAAAAGTACAAGAAATTTCTCTGCATTGTTTCTTACAACTACATGTGACTCAATCGTTATTTCAATTAAATTAAAGCTTGTTTTTTAAAAGGGACACATTTAACAACATATGTGCAACACACTGAGGTGTTCACAAACACATAATAACTGTGATGCCACAAAATGTCTTCTTTCTTTTCTTTTCTCATGGTTTGTTTCTGTTTATTACTACTAAGGATTTTATTTTCCTTTATTTAAGACATACATGACATTGATTACTTTCAGGCTATTTTCACAGTGACTGTGGTTTATTATATTAGATCCTTATTTTTTATGTCCCTTGGTTACCTGTCATACATAGAATACTACTCAAAAATAAAAAGCATTCATTACTCTGTTTTTCATCCTGATCAAGATACAATTTATAGAACTCTTGGTTTGTACTTCAATCTCTGGCAATACCATAAACAGCCAAGTCTATTAATGCCTTTATCACTCCCCACATAAGAAATGTTCTTTAAAGCAGCACTTCTGCCATCTGCCACGTTAGAGCTCCTTGTCTAGTTCCCAGGGTTCCCTGAGCTCAGTATTAGTATTATACTTCAATAGGTTGTCACTGTTTGGAAAACTTTGTTTTGACTGGCTGCTGTTCAAATTTTTCTTCGGTCCTTTTCATCTCTTTATCATTTCTCTGTGAAAGTTTAATACAGTTTGCTGGTATCACTCTTATTGGATTTCTATTCTATTTTCTGATATTTTTACCTCACACAATTTATTTAGGGTTTGACTTTTTTTCCCCAATTATTGAAGTGGTCGTAAACATCCACATTGTGACAGCAATCCTTGCTCAGGGAGTCCATGACTGCTTTGGAAGTATTTACTGTAAACAGAGCAGGATCAGTACCGCATTTGATTCATTTTCATGCTTTAATATAAAACTTCTCTTTGCTTTCTCTTTCAGTGAGTACTGAAAAAATCCAGGAACATATCACCAACCAGGTATTCTCTCACTTCTCATAAACTCTAATATAGAATATTTTTTCAAATGTTAATAATTAAACGTGTAAATGTAAAAAAGGCGGGGGTAATGTTAGTTGTTAGTTATGAGCAATGTATATGTTATTGGTTCTGAGAAAAAAACATATTTGGTCATATGTAGATGATCATGCACTTTCTTTGTCTCCTCCCAAGCCCAGTCCTTCCCTGCCACATCCTACACAAATGGGTAACAGTAGACTAATGAGACTCTGCCAGTTCTAACTTGCAAGTATCTCTCTGATCATATTGTGACCTCTGCATTGATACTATCATGGCAGCAAATAGATACTTCCATCTATTTTTCCCTTAACTAAGGTGATTCTCCATGATTTTCTCAGGTTTTCGTTTAATAAGCTGGAAGTCACTGCCTCCCAAACAGCTAAGAACCGGCCCCCTATATACCACAAGTTGACCTTCCATTCTGGTCTTTTGTTTCTACTCACAGTTGGCCAGCCTCTTCCTGTCTGCTTTATGGTTTTCTTATCCCATCTTCTTACTAATCTATTTTTGTGTTTCTAGGTAGGTAGTACTTCTATAGAACTGCTTTAGGAGCTTGAGACCTGCAGCCACACAAGCCAACCAAGGAGGGCCTTCCCCAAAAGCTTATCTTGCCCCACCCTGCCTACTTTCTCCCCAGGCCAGCTTATTTTAGCTACAATTTCTCCACACCCTGCCTGTGCCACTAGATTCAGAGAATGCAGACATTGACCTGTGGGGAAATATGCTTGGGTTTCACCCATAGATACAAATTTCTGTATCTTTCTTTCTTTTTTCCTTTCTCTGGCATAAATTGCAACTCACCCTTCCCAAAGAGAAGGGTGGTAAATCTACATTTATACCAGTCAAAGGCGCATTTTTCAACCTTCTAAATGTACTCCAGAAGGAATTAGAATTCTCGTTCCTATTGTCAATCCATCCCAATAAAGTTCTGCCTTTACCTAATCTGTGCCAGATGCCCTGTAGTTCATCAAGATTTCAAAACAGTGATCCCATTTGGCTAATATACTATTTTGCAAATTCAGTAGCCAAAATTTAATCAGGTGCCGTTTCGCTTTTGAAAACTATTGTACATGTTGACTTGTAGTAGCAACTTTCTTAATATTTGAAAATGCCATCATTGTGAGATAGCAAAATCGGTTGGTCATTTCAAATAGTTGATTTGCCTTTTGAACTGAGTTTCTTTATCATTGCATTTTCCATTATTTGTATGTACTCAAGTGTTTTCGCGAGGGTGAGCAACAGTTAGCCAGTAAAGTTTACTGCTGCCATTTTAATTTATTTAAATCATATGGGAACACTTTTCCTTATAAAGATACTTGTTTTCCTTATAAGCGTAACAACCTACCTGTTTCCCTTACTAACTTAACCTAAAGCAGATTGTCAAAAAATATACTAAGGTCACTTCTGATTGGTAGATTTTCATTTCCTGTTTTTCCTTCTTTTTACACTTAGCAAAACTAACAAAATATGTAGACACCAAAACAGAACACCAAATATTTATTCATCTTAAACATTCATCTGATGTCAGATAAAATTGTAATGGTTTTCAGTCTCAATAAGAGAATGAAATTCTTTAGATTTTAACTAAAGAGGGAAAGGTCTTAGTATTTTAATTATATAGTCATTCTCAGAACAGATCGTTGTCTCATTGAATCATTGTCTACTAGCTTGTATTTCTAATCCTACAATGAAATTTCTCTTCATTCCTCTCCCGAGTAGAGAAGTTCTCCCCACTCTCAAGAATGATACACTGGGAATACAATTCAAAAAGATATCTTCTACCTCTAATTTATATAATCTCTAGCAAAAAAGTCAAGAAATAAAGTCACTATGCCACCAAAATAATTTGGCTCTTGAAAGGCAAAATGGAGCACCACTGAGCGTTAATCTTGCCCCTAAATCCTTCCCACTAGGCACTATAGATTGTGTAATTAAATTGAAATTGAAAATCAAGTCTTTATTCTTCTTCTCCCTATCCCCCACTCCCCCACATCAGGCAGGCAATAAGTTGTGCACCAATGTGAGAAATCAGAACTGGAGTGGAGGGGAAGCTCTAGCCTGCTGGCCAATATCCAGCCTGTGTTTAGCCCACGGCTATTTCACCACACCTGAGCTCTGAGAACAAACAACTATTTGAGTCCTCTGGAGGGAATGCTGGATTCTTTCCTGTGCAATTCACTGGGGAAATTAGTATGCTTTTTAAAAGTAACTTGTTAACGCAGCTTGTTTACGAGAAGAGGACAAAAATGAGCAGGGAACTGCTTGGCAGCCTCTGTTCTAGAATAGGATGAATGCATGACCCATTTTTTTTTTCAGCTGTCTCTTTGGCAGTTCAATGCTGCAATAATTTCCTATCTGAAAAATGTTACTTGTAGAGATAAAGTCTTCTGTAGGTTTCCTGAATAATTTTTACAATGCTAGATGAAAGATAATACTTTCTTACCAAAAATCCTTTCAAAATCAAACTAAAATATGGTCAGCACAAGAATGGAAAACTGAATGTAAAAATCTTAATTTAAATTTTAGAAATTGCCCTATTATATAAAAGACAATTGAAACCTTTTATGTTTATGCCTTTTTATGTAGCAGATAATTGAAACCCACAGTGAATTAATACCTTGTGTTTGTGCAACTAGATGACAAAGAGGGACACGGAATAAGGGGCTCTGTTTCTGGTGCAGAGGATGTCTATGTTATGGAGAACATTCATAGACAGGTGCCCTCTAGGAGAAACGCTTGCCCTCACTGACGACCCAGTGCAGAGAGAGACAACACCAGGGCAAGCACTGTATTCAGTCTGTAGGGTTGCCATAAGAAAGTACCATGAACAGATGCCTTAAAACAATGGAAATACATTGTCTCACATCCAAAATAGGGTGTCAGCAGGACCATGCTCCCTCTGAAACCTGTAGGGGAGGATTCTTGTTTGCTCTTTTTAGCTTCTAAAAAGGTTGCTTGCCAGCAACCCTTGACATTACTTGGCTTACAGCCACTCTCTGCCCCTGTGGATACATGGCTGCCCTCCCTATGTGTCCCTCCCCTTCTTATAAGGATCCCAGCCATCTTGGCTTAGGGCCTTCCCACAATAACCTCCTCTTAATTTAATTGCAGTTGCAAAGATGCTTTTATCAAATAAGGTTGTATTCTTAGGTACTAGGAGTTAGGACTTCAACATATCTGTCTGGGGGACATAATTTGACCCATAACAAGCTGGAAGCCTCAGAGTCATCCTTGACTCCATCTCTCCCTCTTAGCACTGGGCACTTCTGATGGGATCTCCTGTGGACCTCTTCCAGCCAGCTCCTCACCTCCACCCATGGCCCCTGTTTCATCCAGGCTCTCATTTCATTTGCTCAGTGATTTCCTGAGGCTCTCGTGTTAGCCTCACCACCTGTCTGTTCATCTTCCATTCTGCTCCAGTTTGCTTTGTAAAATATCATCTTGCTGAAAAATAAGCACTAAGTCAAAAAACTTCCCCCATTGTTAGTAGTGATTTTAACCCTGCCTGGGCATTATAGTCACCCCTGAAACTTGTTAGCATGTATCTGAGACCCCATCTCCAACCCCAACCCCAAGGCATTCTGGGTCAGTAGTTCTAGACTTGGGTTCAGACACAGCACAACCCTCAGACCAGACCAAGAAAGGTCATAGGCTTTAGGAGTCTCCAAGCACCACAAACACAGCTGTGTAAAGACATATTTTTCTTTCTCAGCCTCATGTTTTAAAGTTTCATGAGCAATTGAGAGTATACAAAATATGGAGAGGAACATAGCAGCTGAACTGGGTTATCTGGGCAAAGGAGATAGGCCAATAAAAGAGTGAAATTCCCTTATTGAGAGAGATCGGGCTGAGTGGGCCCTGTGAAATCAAAGAAAGAGGGGATGCTTTAGTTTCTAGATAGCCACCCAATAGCCCCTGAAGTGGGAGGATGTATAGTCAGACTGTCTTCCCAGGTAACCATGCTTCCACATTCCCCTCTGCTTGGGTAAGGGGTATGGAGTGTGTGAGTATAGTTTCAAGCTGGTGCTTAGAACCTCCTGGTAATTTGGAATTAGAAAAGTAGGACATGAGGTAGGAGAATCTGTTCTCTTCATTAACTAGAAGACTGGGACTGAGTCATTTCCCATCCTTGATGGGAGTAGATGCAGGCCTTGCCCACCAGTTCCCAGGCTAAGTCCAGAGTCCATTGTCTCCTCCTACTGAAGGTCCAAGCAACCAATCAGGCCTCTAGTGCAGGATGGCCTGGAGGGTCAGCAGGTTCTCCTAAAGCCTCCTAGTCCCAGAGCAGTCCCTTGGAGAGGAACAAGGACAGGGTCTTGGGTGTAGCTTCCTTTAAAACTTTGAAATAGTTTGACATACAGTATGTGGGCCTCCATTCATGCTCTTCTTCTAGGCCCCACAAATGTTGGGAAGAATCCTGCTCAGAATTTGCAATCTCAAAAACTCATTATGGGATTCTGATGGAAAGCCATAATAATATTTCTAACCTTTGAGTATGAAATACAGAGGCTTGGGATCTTGTGATCTTGTACTCCTTTGGAGAGGATTCTCCCTGCCTTCCTAGACTTATTTCCCATTCTATTCCTTTATATAAAATTATTGGTTCTTTATAAAACTGTTTCATCACATACTAATCCCCTTCTCTGCATGTACAAAATTTGCTCATATAAGTCCTAACTCAGAAAGTACCTTTTCCATGAAGCTTTCTTTTATCACACAGCTAAGAATAATCTCACTCTCTTCTGTGACACCATTTTATTTTCTCTGCCCTTTTGCTGTAGAATTTTACATTTTCTACCCTATATTCTAATCATTTATATCCCAGCATGGTTTTTTGAGACTACACAGTATCGCCCTAAAGGGAAGAGATCATGTTTGGTTCATTTCTGTGTCCAATGTTGGGCCTTGCATATCATAACAACTCAATCAATTACTAGCAGAATGTAAGTAAATCACTAAAT